CCAAATAAGATCTCCATAAAAAAAAGAGATCACAAAAAGGGCTCCCCACAAACATACGAATAAAAAAGAGGCTTCATCTTAAATCTTCTCTTCTTATGTTTATTTTGTGAACCGAGTACCCGGAGTAGTGTACAGTTCACCCATGTTGCTGACATTTTTCAGCATCAACAAATTGAACACAACAAATGACAAGACCGCTCTGATAGTTGTTGCCTTATTCATTAGGTTGAATGTTCCTTTATAATCCAAACCAACATACTGAGAATACCCTTGTGCCAAAAGTCTGGCCTTATGTCTTGAAATTGATCCATCAGGGTGCCTTTTTACATGTAGACCCATTTACAACCAACAAGACTATTTCCTTTAGGCAATTCTACAAGGGTCCATGTTTTGTTTTTCACCAATGCCTCATACTTCTCAGTCATGGCCTCTCTCCAACGCTTGTGGTTAACTGCCTAATGAAAAAAATACTGGTGAATCCATTAATATAACTCTATAATTCTGTTACAACTGAATTGAAGCATCATCTAAATTTTTTGAGTGTTAGATTATATTCATGATGCGATATTGTGCAACCATCATAGTACTTATGTGCATTTGTCTGCTTTTTGTAGCTTTAAGCCGAGTCGATCGAAATATCTACCTCGGGTCGTGTTCTCAAGGAAGGTTGTTCGTAATTTCTTTTACTAACTAGTCGTCAAAGCACAAAAATGTAAAATTAAAGGTCCTAAACATTCTAGCAAGATTGGTTGATTGATTTTAGCCAAGTTGACCTAAAAAATTAAAAGCAATTAACTAAAGATGTAAACTTTAACTAAAGATTCAAACTTTATTAGCACGGACTCTCTCCACAATCAAATGAAAACAAAAACAAATCAAAGAAACATGCCAATATTAATATCCTAGGATGTTAACACGAGCCATCTAATAAAGATTTCAACAAAGTTTCAACCTTTAATACTACATAAGTACGCAATTAACTCCTAAATTACCTCAGACTAGCAAGAAAAACAAAGAATCCAAACTTCAGCTGAATTATCTAGCAAGACACCAATTTTACCTTAAAAATCTTCATAAGTAAAATGGAGCAATTGCGAAGTAATGAATCTTAAAACTAAGTACTCACCCTTCTATTGCATGTTTGAAGAAGATCGAAGTCCAAAGCTTGAAACTTGCATAAAAACGGCATCGCCAAAAAACATACGAGTGTTGAAGCTCCCAAAAGTAATATAAACTAGAGAGAAAATTGAAAAATAGCTAATTCCTAAAGTAGCAAAGTGAAAGTGAAGTGTAGTTCCCCAAAATACAAAGGACTTGGTACTGTATTTGTACTCATACCAAAACACAAACTAAAAACACGCAGATTTAAACCTTTTTTCTTTCATACTGTTTGTCCCATTTTTGTTACGTTTTTTCATATTGTTTTGTCGTTCTTTTCCCCCCATTTTAGGTATTTTTGTTGCTTTGTAGTTTATTTTGTTGATTATCTCGTGTTTCCCTTTATTTTGGTTCTTTTTGTGTTTTTCGTATGTTTTTCCCGTTTTTCTTCTTGTTTTTGGTGTGCAGGTCAGAAGCCCGCGAGGAATAAATTTAGCTCAAAAACAGGACAGGAAATCATGGTTAGATAGATGGGGTCGTTGTCTACAAGTAGGAAAAAGCGGAATTTGATTTCGAGTTCGGACGAGTCCGGACGATCCCGATATGTGAAATCGCGCACAAAAGCCATCACCTTCAAGTCAAAAGCTTTGGGAGAATAGGTTTTCAAGAATAAGTTGGATTTAAAAGCACAATTACATAGAAGGCTTCGTTAACGACGCGTAGAAAAAAACGGAACTCAATTCCGAGTTCGGACGAGCCCAAACGGACCCGAGAAGCAAAGTCTAGCATGCTGCCAGAGCCTTAGTAGCGCTAAGGCACACAGAATAGCGGCGCTACACCGTACTGGCTCGAACGGCTAAGGCACCTTAGCGGCGCTAAGGCCCTCTACAAGTCCCATAATGGTATAAGAACCCCAAAAACTTGTTTTCTTCTCCATTCTTTGACCATCAGCTCGAAGGGGGAAGAACCCTAGGTCCGAAAATCGCCTCCCCCCTTCATTTTTCTCCTTCTTCTTCCTCTTCTCCTTCCTCTCCTTCCTCCTCTTCTTTTTCTTCTTCGTTTTTCCTCTTCTCTTCATCTTTCTTTTCCATTTTTCTTCTTTTTATTAGTATTCAAGGATTAAGCTTGTAATTCAAATTGAACACTTGGAATTGTGATTTATTGTAAGTTCTTCTCTTTATTTTTAATTCATAAATAATGGTTGAATTGAGAGAGATGATGGATTGTGTTGAATTGATTTTACTTAGCTAATTCTTATTGCTAGGGATAGGGGATGATTGTTCTCGTTTAACGTGTATTTGTCGGGCTTGAATTGTTCGTTCTTTTGCGGTTGATTTGATTACGAATTGATGAAATCTTGTTTGATTAATTGATATAATCAAAGAGTGACACTTCGATCTTGCAATTGGAAACAATTGAATGTTGATTAGTCGAGTTAGGGTTTTGTTGATTCTATATGATTAGTCGATTAACTCTCTTCTAATTTAATTAGCGACTTTTAGAACCGAAAGGGGAGAAGTCGTAGACTTAGGCTTGCATGAGGTAAATGATTTCGTAATTGAATAGTCTATAGGCTTTGGATTGAAATACGTGCTTGTCGATGACTCGTCCCTTGTTACGAATAGTTATTGGGATTGGGATAATTGGCATGTGTCGTATGCTCAAGTTTGTTCGTCTATGTTCAATCCCTTGTTACGAAGAGTTATTGAGAGCGAACCGTTAGATGCTTAAGCGAGAGCGTCAATCTAGAATAGAATGATTAAAGTCCCAGTGTGCAAATAGAACTTGAATTAATTATCCTCGACTCCCTAGCTTCTTTATCGTTGTTTCGTTTATATTTTTAGGTAGATTATTGTCTATTTTATTTCT